TGACACAAGGATTGTTTGAAGACTGGTTTATGAACTGTTTTATTCCTCAAGTTCAAGAATATTGTTTGGAGAAAGATATTCCTTTCAAGATTTTATTGCTACTCAATAATGCGCCTGTACACCCACCACATCTAGGTGATCTCCATCCAGTTGTAAAATTTGTTTTTCTTCTGCCAAACATGACTTCACTCATCCAGCCTATGGACCAAGGTTCGATTGCTACATTAAAGGCCATGTATCTCCGAACCACTTTCGCTCAAGCAATATCCGCTACAGATGTTGACTCAGAACTAACATTGCGAGATTTTTGGAAACACTACAACATTTTGATGTGTATCAAGAATATCGCTACCGCCTGGGGGGCTGTGACGACAAAGTGCATGAATGGCATCTGGAAAAATTGTGTTAAGCGCTATGTTAATGATATTGACAGATTTGACAGTGAACATGAACTTGAAACGATTCGGGAAAAAATAGTAAAACTCGCTAAAGACCTTTCTTCGGAGTGTGAAATGGAAGATGTCGAAGAGTTGCTAGACAAAGAATCTGGAGAACTTACAAATGAGGAGCTAATCTAACTGGAAGAAGAAAGAGTGGCGGAAGAAGAAAGCAGAGAAGCGGAGAAAGAAGAGGAGGAGCCAGAAAGAAAGTTCACCACTAAGGGATTATCAGACGGTTTATCTTTACTGAATAAATGGGTCCATTTTGAAGCAATGGACCCAAACATCAAACGATTTGCAAGGATTGAACGGATGGCGCACGATGTGTTTCGTCCGTATCGTGAAATTTATGAAGAAAAAAAGAAACATACAATTCAGACAAAGCTCACCATGTTTATGAAAATATCAACTCCGGTAACCCCAACTGCTGCCTCAGATGACGACATCAACGATCCGCAGCCAAGCACCAGCGGCCAATAAAATGTTTCGTACATGTTTATATATTTTGATATGTTTTGCGATTGGGAAAATATTTCCTATGGTATTTTTTACACCTGTATTTTGTATTTTTGTATGCACCTGTATTTTGTAATTTTGTATGTTTTGCAAATATTAAACCAGTTGTACTGGTAATGCAGTGTTTTACTTAAACCTGACGAATGTAAAAATAAGAAACAAAATGGTGTAGAGATGATACAAATGGCATAAAATGAACAAAGAAAATTATGATATATAACAATAATGAAAGAAAATTAGGATAAAATATGACTTAAAGATTTTTATAACATCATTTCACAGTACTGTACATATAGCCTACTCAACTTACGACCAAATCATGTTACGACCGGTCTGTCGGAACCAATCGTGGTCGTAAGTTGAGCACTAGCTGTATTGAATAGAAGTGGTGAAAGTGGGTGTCCTTGTCTTGTTCCACTTTTCAGGGGGATGCTTTCAACCATTCCCCATTCAGTATGACATTGGCTGTGGGTTTGTCATACATGGTTTTTATTATTTTGAGATAAGTCCCTTCTATGCCTAGTTTGTTGAGTGTTTTTATCAGAAAGGAATGCTAGATTTTATTTTTGCCTCTATTGAAATGACACATGGTTTTTGTTTTTAATGGTGTTTATATGGTGTATCACATTTATTGACTTATATATGTTAAATCATCCCTGCATTCCTGGGGTGAAATCCACTTGATCATGGTGTATTATCTTTTTAATGTGCTGTTAGATTCAGTTGGCTAGTATTTTGTTGAAGATCTATGTTTATCAGGGATATTAGTCTGTGGTTTTCTTTCCTTTTTTTCTTTTTTTGTTATATTCTTTCCAGGATTTGGTGTCAGGGTGATAATGGCTTCATAGAATGAGTTAGTTAGGGAGGATTCCTCTTTTTCAGTCTTTTGAAGTTGTTTGGAAGGATTGGCACTAATTCTTCTTTGAATGGATGGTAGAATTCAGCGTTGAATCTGTCTGGCCTTGGGCTCTTTTTTAATGGCATAAAAAACAATTACTGATTCATTTTCACTGCTTGTTATTGGTCCGTTCAGGGTTCCTATTTCTTCCTGATTTAATCAAGGAGGGTTGTCTGTGTCCAGGAATTGACCAATATTCTCTCGATTTTCTAATTCATATACATAAAACTTTACAACCAACACGAGAGATCATTTGAGAATATTATACACATTTCATAATAGTCTCAAATGATCTTTCGTGTTGGTTGTAATGTTTCCAGTTTCATATCGAATTGAATTTATTTGAATCTTCTCTCTCCTTGGTTAACCTAGCTAATGGTCTATCAATTTTGTCTATCTCTTCAAAATATCAGCTTTTTGTTTGATTGATCTTTTGTATTTTATTTTGTTTCAATTTCATTTCGTTCTTCACTGATTTTTGTTTTCTATTTTTTTTCTACTAGCTTTGGGTTTAGTTTGTTCTTGCTTCTCTGGTTCCTTGAGGTTTACATTAGGTTGTCAATCTGTGATCTTTCAGACTTTGTGATGTAGGCATTTAGTGCTGTAAACTTTCCTCTTAGCCCTGCTTTTGCTGTATTCCAGAGGTTTGATAACTTGTGTCACTATTATAATTTATTTCAAGGAATTTCTAAATTTCCATCTTGATTTCATCATTAACCCCAAAGTAAACAGCATTTTAAAAAGAGAATTAGAAGCATAGTAGGCTGCAAGTATTATGTATAAAACGTGTTTTTTCCCTAAAAATATATATTTCAAAAGAAACCGATGCCTTTATCATCAAGGTGAATTGCCCGGATCATCACCAAGATCCACATTCATCGGAGTTTTGTTTCCCTTTTTAATAGCTATGGAAATAATCATGCTTTTTCTGTGCTCATTGTCATAGGTTTAGGCAAAAACCTTTAAATGCATGGTTTGTATGTTAAAAATCCCCTTAGTATTCTTAGAAAGGCTTGAAGGGAGGAGTGTGGCTCTGGGAGCCTGGAGCCCAAATCTGTGGGCTCTGAGGCTCAGACATAGCTTACTGGGCCTCTGTGTCCATATCAGTGAGGTGGTCTGAAGACTCCTGTTTTGCAGAAGTGGCACTCAGTGTCCCAAGTCTGGTACACAGTGGATGAAAGATCAGTGCTTACTTATCCCTTCCCCCTACTGGTTTTAACCATGGTTCTATTTGTGGAAAATCCTCTATGGACTCTGATTAGTGCCGTGGCTCATGGGAGGAGGGCGGAGAATGGAGAGGCTTCTCTCCCCTGTTCAGGTCAGGCTGCCCGCCAGCCCTCATGGTGGAGTCAGGTGGACAGAGGTGCTGGGCTTCACTGGGACTAACGTTGCTGCCTGTGTCCTGTCCAGGGTCCGAACACTTGTACAACGACCACGGAGTAATTGTGGACTACAACACGGCAGACCCACTGATACGCTGGGACTCGTACGAGAACCTCAGTGCAGATGGAGAAGGTGCGTGTGGTCATCTCGTGGTCAGTTATGGAGGAGAAGGGCACAGGGAAGACAGCCTACTCAAAGAGCTGACATATTTTGCAATCTGCTCAGAAGAGGCAAATCCTCCTGTTTTCTCAGAGGTCCAGCAGAATTACACCTTTGTGTGACATAGTTGTGAGTTTTGAGGGTCTTCTTGAGAATAAGGTGTGGTGAGTTTGGGTCAGGGCTTTTTGTGAAGCTGTAATGGTGGGATGAGCTGTCAGTGAAGTTATATCCAGGAGCCCCTTGGCCTGAACTTGTGTGTATGTATAACACCAGGGATCGTTCCCCCTTCTTCCCTCCCTTCCTGTTCGCATATGGGGAGGCCAAGCGCTGGCCACAGCCAACCTAGTTACCATTGTTCAGCCCCTACACGCAACAGACATTTTGTTTGTATTTCTGTTTGCTTGTTAGTCTAGTGTTCCTGATTTATGGCTGTAGCATTTAAATCGCTGTTTTCATGAGACCATCTCACCCAAACATGTTCTCTGTTCACCGTGGAACGTGCACTTTGGAGCACCATTAGGCGCGTGAAGGAGGAAAGGAAGGAAGGGGCAGCTGTGTGCTGGAATCTCCGCAACACACAACTGGAGGTTGATTTCAAAGGGGGGAAACTGAGGCTTTTCCTGGCACATCATGCTGATCTCTTACCTTTTTCAGCCACTGACTAAGAATCAGACTGGCTTTGGGAAAGAAATTAAAATACTTTTTGTCGAATTAGTTACATCCAGATGTAAAATAGCTAAAAGCAAGAGTTGTGGAAAGAACCGCAGTAGCTCCCTGTCTTTGTGGATCTCTGAGCTTCCCATGACTCCAGGAAGTTGGTGTCTGTGGTCAGTGAGGAAGGACGCCAATTGTGCGTCCCAGGGCGGCACACGGCTCCTCGCTGTTGTGCTGGGGAGGAGCTTGCTCCTTCATAGGCCTTGTGGGATGGAATTTCAACTCAAGGAATTGTAGCAACCCAAATACACCTGGACCAGAAGTGGAGACCCACAGATGGATGTTGATGGTAAGGGCATTAAAACACAGATGAAGTCTGGGGTTAGTGGGCAAAGTGCTGTGGAGGGGGAGAGACTTGCTGTGGCCTGTAAATAGAGTGCTCTTTGCTGGTGTGAATTATTCAGCACACCAGTCCTTCCAGATAACCAGCACATTGAAAGAAACGTAGCTGAAAACTTTCAGAAAACTATACATTGTCTCTCTAGAGATCACAGTGTACATTGGAATCTTAAAGCTGTGCGAATGATTAAGTTTTCTCAAACAAGGGTTGTCAAACTTTTGATCAAAGAGCTCTTTTTCCAGTAGCATCTGTTTGCATTTGCAGAACTGTATTCTGTCCATCACGTGGTGATGTTTTCCTCTGGAGGAGAGAGGGGTGAAGCGGTGGCTGGTGAAGTGTGTGAATAAGCAGCTCAAGGCGAGATGAGGAAAGGAGCTAATTTGGAGAGCTGGACGGCACCTCTGAGGACAGCTGACTTAGAATCCTAAATGCCAGACTGAGGAGGGTGGATTTGACCAGAGAGGTCCCTTGCTGCTTGGGAGCCAGCGAGCAGGGCTCTGTTGTGAGGTGATTAATCAGCAGCTATGCCAAGTCTCCTGGAGACCAGGGAAGCACAGTCGGGGAGCCTGGCACCATTGAGGGTGTTGTGAAAGGACATTCTCGTGATGGTGGGAGGTTCTTTGCTTGCCAAGGGAGGGACACGCCTGGAGGGTTATTGACCATGAGGGAGGCAGGGATTCTAAAACACAGGTGGGTGGTCTCTGTGCTGATGCCATAAGAGGGGAGCAGTGAAGCCCAGTGGACAGTGTGGAGGAGCCCCAGCTCCTGTGAAGAGCGTGCTCCGGAGGACAGCTTTGTGCTCAGCCCCTCCCTGAGTGCCCTGCTCCTGTCCCCAAGCTGGGTCCCAGCTGAGCCTGTGACTTCCCTGCAGGGCAGATTTTATTCTTCCCACCTCACAGTTGGGGAAGTGAAAGCTGGGTGCCTGTGGCCGCATCACTCACAGGTGGTGAAGGACCTGCATTGATTTTCTGTAGAAGAAATATAAACAGGAGGAAAATCAGTTGAGTGTTCACCACCCTTTGGGGTTACATGAAACTTTACGGAGAATGTATGGAAGTATGTGTGTGAGGGTGTGTGTATAGATCCATATGTTGTTGAGGACTTGCTGTTATCACTGGGTAAAATACACAGAATTCAGTCTTAAACACTCTCAACCACCGGCAGTGTTTCCTGAAGATACAGAGGGAAATACTTTACTTCAGGGTCCTCTCAGTCCATTCACTCTGCCTTAACAGATGACCATAGCCTGGGTGACTTTAACAACATTTATCTCTCCTACTTTGAGCGGCTGGGAAGTCCAAGATGAGGGAGCCAGCCTGGAGGATGCTGGTAGGGCTGTCATCTAGTTGCCGACTCCTGCCTTCTTGTGCCTCCATGTGGTTGTGAGGAGAGGGAGCTGCTTGAGGCCCCCTTTCTGAGGGTACCAGTCCCACTTAAGGAGTCTTCACCCCCATGCTCTGAGCACTGTCCAGAGGTCCTGCTTCCTAATACCATCACACTGGGGATTAGGTTTTGATGTATGAATCTTAGGGGGCACAAATATTCAGTCCATAGCAGCTACTCAATGCATGTTTGTTGAATGAATGATTAGAGAGGCAATTGAACTTTAAATATCTAAGGCCCTGATATGACAAATCACAATTCCCACTGGTGCATTTTTCATGAAGCGTCTTTTGAGCCAGGGGTATGAGCAGCTAGGAGACTGTGCTGTGGATTGCGCCTTAGAGGCACTGGAGCCATGCAGGTGATGGTCTGAGCATCCACTCCGGACTCTGTGTCATAGAGTGTTTGGTCTAGGGGCTATCAGAGAAGGTCTGGCATCGCCATGCAAAGGATGGAGCCAGTCGGGAATGGGTGCACAGGAATCTTGGAAAGAAATTGAGAAGGAACAGGGCAGAGTGGAGAGGACACCCAGAGAGAGTGGTTCCCAGATAGGGGGGCGAGGAGTCGGATAGGGTGCCAAGGGAGCCACGCACACTTTGCAGCCGGATTCACAGCTTTCCTGTGCAATAGTGGAGTGGGTCAGAAAGTTCGTGCTTCTACACTTTAAATCTTTGCTTTTCCACGGACTAACTTTGCTCCATGGAAACAGGGCACTTAGGGGGCTGTGGAAGAATGAGGTGTGTTGTAGAAGAATCATCGTACCTGGCTGTCTCACGGGTTCTCCAGGGCCAGGGCTTCCGCTGCTTTCCTGCTTTGTCACTGCTGCTACTTCTAGTGCACATTTTCAGCGTCCACAGTTCTTGTCTTCTGCATATCCACGGGCAGACACTGCTCTGAACCCTTGAAATTGTGTTAGTTTTTTTCACCGATAAATGCTCTTTAAATTAACTTCAGGAAATTTGGGGGGAATAAAGGCATTTGTTGGGAGGACATGGAATAGCATATAGAGTCAAAAGCAGAGCCGTCAGCTAGTGGAGGTTTTGGAAGGGACAGTGCCACTGCTAGGTGCTCTGTGGTCTGGGCAGCCACCCCCGGGGAGTCTTTGCAGGGACCAGCACTAGGATAACAGGCTCCAGCACTCAGCGCTGCATTGCTCTGCTTATGTTCAGATTCCTGGAAGACAGACAGGAATGCGTAGCGTTGCTTGGGTCATGGGATGAGCTAGGTTCAAGTGGGCAGTGTGCGCTCCCGCAGGCTGCATGCATGGAGGGAAGAAGGGCAGCTTCCCAGGGGAAAACGCAAGAGTCATCCACGAGGAATAGGAGAAGGGTGCTGAGCCCGGACAGTGACAGACACCCACTTGGGGGACTTGCAGCTTCCCTCGGCCCCCTAAGGGGTCAGCGGCTGAGAGCTTGGAGTCAGTGCTCATTGTCATGAGACAATGGCTGTGTCTGCTCTGGACCCAGCGGACACCAGGATAACCAGTTACAAAAGAGGCGTGGAAGGGGCTCTGGGATCATGTTCTCTGAGGGTTTCCAGGCTTCATAAAGCAGTAGAGACTCCCTTTCTAGGCAGAGTCACGCCCACATGCCTCATGGATACAGTGGGTGAGAGAGCAGCCTCCTCACAGCGCCTCGTCCATCCCTTGCCTAGCCCGGAACCCATCACGTGAAATTCGAGTTCTCTCCCAGAACTGGATCTCAACAACCTTCCCTTGAACCACTGCCTGAGCATTCCTAAGAATTCCAGCTCCTGAGTTACAGACAAGCATGGAGCCTTTCCTCGGATCTGTGTCCCCTCTTCTTGCATCCCCTTCATCCCCACGTGCTGTGGGTGTGTCTAGGGTACCTGATTCAATGGAGTGAGTTTTATGCTTTTCTTCCTTTCTTATATATACGTTTAAGCTTGTATCAATATTTTTTGAAGATGTAAATTATTGAAAAGAAAGAAGGAATAATTACCCCCATCTTACTACCTAGAGACAAAGCACTCGTCGTTGATGTATTTTACGCATGATTTCTAAATACCATGTAATTTTTTTCTCATTTTTTTTTGAGACAGAGTTTCATTCTTGTCACCCAGGCTGGAGTGCAATGGTGCTGTCTTGGCTCACTGCAACCTCCACTTCCAGGCACACCCAGCTAATTTTTATACTTTTAGTAGAGACGGGGTTTCGCCCTGTTGGCCAGGCTGGTCTCGAACTCCTGACCTCAGGTGATCCGCCCACCTCGGCCTCCCAAAGTGCTGGGATTACAGGTGTGAGCCACCTCACCCAGCCACAATTTCTCGTGATAGGATCAGCCTGTGCATTGTTTTATAGCCTGAGTTTTCCACTTGACCCACCTCCCGGAGCATCAGTGCGCATCTTTAAACTTTTCTTTCCAGGCCCTTCTTACTGAGCTCCTGCTTTCCCTTAGAGGAGCTTCCAAAGTGCGTTTGATCTTGTTGTTGCCCTCCTGCAGGGATTCCAAGTTCTCTCTGAGAGACACGAGGCTGCCACCACCACCCCTGCCACCAAAGCTCTGCAGAATCTCCA